AATAAATAAATAAATACAAGAAAAACTGTTGTGTACTCACAACTGTAGCCTATTTTTACCCACACCTGTATTATCATTTCAACATGATAGATAGGGTTAAACAAAATAATTATTAAAAAAATTTTAAAGATTTTAAAAAATTGAGTTTTAGGGAGAGAGGAAGCAGGAGGGAGGTGGGCAAGGGGGGAGAGAGAAACATCGATACCAGAATGAAATATTGATCAGCTGCCTCCTGCACACCCTCCATAGAGGATGAAGCCTGCAACTCAGCCATGTGCTCTGACCTGGAATCAAATCGGCAACCTTTAAGTGCAGAGACAACGCCGGACCAACTTGAGCTATATTGGCCAGCGCTACATTATTAAAATTTTTTAAAGGCATGTTTAATACAGCACTCAATAGTATGTATATGTGGAATGAAGCAGTCAGACCTAAGCTTGGAATCTGGGCCCCACTTACTTGGTCAGGTAACTTCACCTCGCTGGGCTCAGTTGATTATTTTTTTCCCTGTAACATGGGGATAAATAGTAATCCTCTAGGGTTATTGTTACTTCAATCCACTCTCTTTAAAGAAAAGCGCTCGGTGGGACCGGAGGGGGCATCTCCTTCCAACATAAAATGTGCATCCTGGCTGTGATTCCGTGCCCCATGGCCACGGCTTGTTGGGCTCCAGATCCAGGATCCTGCCCTTGGCCCTAGGGTGTTTCTCTTTGAATTTCTATAGTTTCCCCACTCCTAGCAGGTCTAAAGTGGGTCTGTTTTTCTTCTCCTTTCCTTTCCTCCGCTCCCTGCCAATTACACAAAATAAAAGCTGGCCCAGTCTCTCAATCTGCAGCCAGCTTCCAATTACGCCTGGAAAGAAAAGAAAAGTAAAGAAAAAAGAGCAGCTCATCCCTAGCATCTCCCTATTACTGAGGATTAGAGGCAGTAATTCTAACCTCACAGCATCTTGCTTCATTTTTTTTTAAAACATATTTTTATTGATTTCAGAGGAAAGGAGAGGGAGAGAGAGAGAAACATCAACGATGAGAGAGAATTATTGACCTGCATGTCCCCTACTAGTGATTGAGCCCACAGCTTGGGCATGTGCCCTTTACAGGGTTTGAACCCGGGACCCTTCATTCTCCAGGCCAATGCTCTATCCACTGAGCCAAACTAGCTGGGGCTCTTGCTTTGTTGTTTTGCTGCTTATATTGTCTGCTCTACACCATCTGTCTTTTTCACTGCTTGACCCAGCACCCAGCTCAGTGCCTGGCTTATAGAAAGTGCTGCTTGCTAAGTGAAGAATGAATGAGATAGCAAGTGGCCCCAACACAGGTGTCCAGTGAGGATCAGTGACATCTTTGCCAACTTTCATGTTAGGGACATACCTGCTTCCTTACTGCTGTCACCCCACGCTGGTATGTCAGAGGTATCCAGAAGAACTGTGTGGAAGGGGTGAATGGAGCTTAGCAGTTTCTAAGGATAGGATAGGACCCGCTCCTCAGGGCCCACCAGTCTCCCTTTTGAAGTCTCCCCTGCCCCAGCCCCAGCCTCACCTGGCCCCCACAAATCAGTAAGAGCAGGAGAAGCATAAGAAGTGAGGCCAAGGCCGAGACCAATGCCCGCACCCTGGCCATCAGTGCGCTGCCTTCTGGAACACAAAGTGGCTGGTTAGCCTGAGGGTGGAAGCCCCTCCAAGCTGCACTAGGAGAAGGGACCAGGGCCAACCATATTGGGCACACACTGACACAACCCATAAACCAAGTCCCTGAAAGACCGGTCAGAGGTTGGCAAGACACCTTCCTCTCCCTCCTCCCAACCTTCCTCTAGTTGCTTGGCAACCACTGTGGATCTGGGCCAGAGCAAGAGGCAACAGGGCATGACAGAAGTCCAGGCCCAGCAGACAGGAGCTGCATTATGGGGAGTAGAAGGGTCCCTAGCTGCTTCTCTCGGTGGCCACCTGAACTGGTGGGACCTTGAGGCACCAGAGGTTCAGGAAAACTGTAGGTAGCTCCTGGGGATGAGGGGGGTTTAATATGCAAAAGCAACTGCAGAAGGACTCCCCCTTCAGCTGGTGGTACTTCTCCAGTATCTGTCCTGATGACCCTTAGGCCTCTGCTCAATGGCCCTCTGCCGTTAGGGAAGGGATTGTCCCCCGTTCCTTCACAGTTTTAAGAAAAGTTAATTTTCCTGGCCCAAAAGAGGCAAATGCCAGGCCTCCTTGACCCTCCATCACCTCCTCTATAAAGTGGGCCAACGCTGAGCACCTGGGAAGACCCTCAAGCAGAGAAGTAAGAAATAGCCTGCAGAGGAGTCCACTCCAAAGGGAGCCGTTGGTATTTCCCCTCACAGACCCACTGCCCACCAGCTCCACAGTGGCCACCTGCGTGTACCCGCTAGGGCTTTTCACAGGGGCCCTGCCCACCTCCCTGAACTGAACTGCAGCAGCTGCCCTGCAGGCCCTGGGGTGTAATCAGCCCCGGAGTTTGGCTCAGCTCCAGGCTTCCATTGTCAGGACTGGTGACAGAACTGGTGACCCGGAGGCAGGAGGATGCTTCTGTCGCCACAGCTGCACTCATTTCACACGTGATGAGAAAGACGGAGGCAGCTGTACAAACGGAAGAGGCCTCTCCTCTCCTGGTGCAGCCTTGACCTGAATATGCGGTCCTCCTCACAGACCGTAGCTGTGGTCCTTGGAACTGGGGGTTTTCACTCAGGGCTTCGGAACATCTTGTCTCCTGCCCAGACACCTGGGTCCGGAGCCAAGTCCAAGAACGCGCACAGCCCGGTCTGACAGGCGCTCTGGGTCCTCGGCTTCCCCGCCCTCCTGCTCCGGCGGCGCTGGAGCGAACGGTGGGCGGGAGGGGGGACTCGCTCGCCCGGGACCCGGGCTGAGTCTGGATAACCTACACGTCTTGGCCGCGGCCCACGGGCGGGGAAGGAGGGGCAGCGGGCCCGAGGCTGGCCCGGGGTCGCCACGCCGCGTCCCCACGCCCGCAGCCACGCGGAGCCGCGGCGGGGCCCAGCCCCCATCACCCGCCCCCCCCGGGGGCCCAGCCCCCATCACCCCCCCCCCCCGGGGGACCACGGCGGCGCGGCGGGGCGGGGCGGGGCAGGAGGCTCCGCCCTCAGGTGTAAGCCCCGCCCCACGCCAAGCCCCCACCAGCCGGCTTCCACTCAGCTAGTGCAGGGGCCAGGTGGAGCAGGAGAAATGAAAAAGGGGTGCGTGCAGGCTGTTACCAACACCGAGTTGTCTACAGCTAAGAATGCCGGGAACGAAAAGTTGCGAGCAGCCGGGCCTGTGTGGCTCCGTGGTTGAGCATCCACTCATGCACCAAGAGGCCACCGGTTTGATTCCCTGACAGGACACATGCCCTGACTGCGGGTTCCATCCCTGGCAGGGGGCAATGCAGGATGTAGCCAATTCATGTTTCTCTCTCATGTTGATGATGTTTCCCCGTGCTGTTTCTATTTCTCTCTCCTTCTCTAAAATCAATAAAAACATTTTTTTTTTTAAAAAAAGTTAAAAGCAGCCCTGGCTGGTTTGGCTCAGTGGATAGAGCGTCGGCCTGCGGACTGAAGGGCCCCAGGTTTGATTCCGGTCAAGGGCATGTACCTGGGTTGCGGGCACATCCCCAGTCCGGGGGTGTGCAGGAAGCAGCTGATCAATGTTTCTCTCCCATCCATGTTTCTAACTCTCTATCCCTCTCTCTGACTCTCTGTAAAAAATGAATAAAATATATTTGGAAAAAAAAAAAGTTAAAAGCAATCAGTTGTGAGTGATCTGAAGAGCTCCCTTTCCCCCACCTGCACCCCATCTTCCCTCCCCCACCCGCACCCCTATTTCAGCTGGGCATAGGACCCAGGGAAAGAAGAGACGCCTGCTCGTGTGGCGTTTATTCCTGGTGGTGTGGCTGCGTGGGGCTCCTGACTTTTCTTCCCAAACCAGGACGTGTGTTTGTTTTGTTGTAGTTAATAGTTTTATTGAGATTGTTTTCAAGACTATTCCATAAAATTCACATATGTATATTGCACCCATTGCAAGTGGGCCATTCTGTAGTGTTTACCGAATTCTCAGCTTCGCGGGATGCTCACCACTATCTAATTTCAGAACAAACAAAAAACACACCACCAATAACCCTTTTGCAGTCACTCAGTCTCCCCCTCTCCAGCCCATGGCAACCACTCATTTTACTTTCTGTCTCTATCGGTTTGCCTGTTCTGAACACCAGATCATTTCTGTGACTAGGTCACCCCTCTGTGTGGAAGGAGAGAAAAGCCACGTGAAGTCAGGGCCCCAAGGGAACAGGTGGCTTGGGAGAGGGGAGCAGAGGTAAAGTCTCTCCTGGGCAGCCTGACTCCTGTCCACAAGAAGCCATGCAGGTGTTTGACAGGAGAGGGGACAGGAGGAGAAGGAGGGTCCTTCAGGCTGAGAGGCCTGGGATAGGGAAGGAAGTCGTGGGGGGTCACAGGGTAGCCAGCCTTCAAGTGGCCCGGCAGGGCTGTCCATCTGCATGCACCTTCAGCCTCTTATTGCCAAGGGAGCCAAACCCCTGCCGGTTCCGCATCTGAGTAGTCGTTGAGGGAGTCATTGTTTCCTGAGTTGGGGCCTTTTCCCAGTTGCCCCCAACTCCCTCCACATGTATCCTGACCTTGGGGAGAGGAGCTAGAAGGAGAAACGGGAGAAGAGAGGAGGGCGGGGCAGGAGGGAGATAGGGGGGGGGGTGGAGTGGGAGGACAGGTGAGGAGGGTGGAGGAGGGCAGGCGGTGGCAGGGTGGGGCTCCATCTATAAAGTGAGAAAGCCCGCTGGCTAGTGGGTAGGAGAGCTCAGCACACACTCCAAGAGGCTGCAGGAGCCCCATAAGCGTCGGTGAGTGTCCCCCGCTGCACTGAGACCAGCAGCTGATCTCCTGGGAGTCACTGGGCCCCATCCTCTGCTGCCTGCCTCCTTTGCATTGAGATGGGAGGGGTGTGTTCCCAGTGCATGCTACTGTCCATTTGGGATCCTCCTTATCCTCCTCCCACCTCCCCTGTAACTCCTCAAGGATCAGAAGGAAGAAAACAAATCTGCACCATGAACCTGTGGCTCCTGGCCTGCCTGGTGACCTGCTTCATAGACACCTGGACCCCGGCTGTCCAAGCTCAAGGTACTGTCAGGGGCCATACCTACTCTCCTCCCCTCAGATTTCCCCTACCCATCCATCCTTCTGTCTCCCCTTCCCATTTGCCTATCCCTCCTCCAAAAGCCTGAGCTCATTTCCACCCTCAGATTCTCTGACTGACAGCTCCCCTGTCCCCGGGCACGCAGACACTCCTGGCATCTGTGCAGCTCTTGGGGCTGCAGAATCCCGGTGGTGCCTCCACCAAAGCCCATGACCCAAGTCTTCCCTGCAGGGACTCAGTCAGCCAGGGGGTGTGGGAAGCAGAGGGAAGCAGAGGGTGGCTCCCAGCAGTGGCCTAGCCCCTTATCACCAGGGACACACTGCAGTGGCTTCACCTTGTAGAGCCCCAGAGACTAGCAGAAAGGGTCCCCCTCCCAGCTTCCCCCAACCCAGGCTAACTGTGGTCAGGCCGAGGGTCACTACTCAGCCTTCCTGGGCCTCAGTTTCCTCATCTGCAAAGTTGGGCTCCCGATTCCCACTGCAGAGAGAGGGGCATGAAGATCCAATGGACTAACGCCTGCAAAACTCTTGGCCCAGTGCCTGCCAGCAGCAACAATGATTACTGTTATTATTGGGAAATAGCTTCCCTCCTCTCCCTAGATTAGGCACGTGAGGGTTTTGGTGACTAAAAGCCAGTTCTGGGCATGCAATACCCTCAGGAAAGGAGCCCTGCCACTGAGTCCTCCATCCCAGTGGGCCCAGAGGAGGCTACTAAACCCCAGCAGCTGGCAGGGCAGGGTCGAGGTCCCATGGCCCCACCTGCCTGCCCCACCCACACCTTACTAGATCCTGTCCCCCAGCAGATCTTAGCCTTTGCCCAGAGGGGGCTGGGCTTAGTTCCCATTGCCCTGGTATCAGCGGCCCATTCCAGCAGCCTGGCAAGCCCAGGCCCTTTGATCCTGGGGGCAAAGTGGCCCCACTGAGGAACGGCTTGCCTGACACTGTGCCCCAGGATCCATTTGACGCCTCTGCCCCTTGCTCCCTGGGGCCACTCTTGCCCTCCCTTCTCCTCCTCCCTCTGGCTTCACTCTGCCAGGGCTTAGTCATGGCCACTCCAGGGGCCGATAGAGGGGCAGATGCTTGAAGGCCTCTGTACCATTTTTTGCATTAATTCATCCTTTGCTTCCACACCCCCTGGCACCCGCACCTCCTCCTCTGAGTGCCTCCGCTCCTGAATTTCCCCCTCCCTGCATAGATCAACTTCCTGGTCTCCTTGCTGGGACAGGACATCCCCGATCACAACACCGGGTCCAGTTCCCCTCTGTTTATCCAGACATCTAGCCCTGCGTGGGACCTCTATATGCTTTTGTTCATCTGAAGGAAAAGTGAACAGAGACCTCCTCCGACAGAAAGGAAGTACCTGAGGTAGACCTAGGTGGGGAAAGGCCAGTCTGGAGCAGGAACCAGGCTGTCAGGAACAGCGGGCCAGCCCACTCATTTTAGGAGGAGGGACCCAGATGGGAGTGGTGGCCTCTGACCCCTCCTCAGGGTACTGCACCTGCCCTACTTGCCCTCTGCCCCAGAGCAGGAGTAGAAATGGCCTGGGTCTCCCATTCATTTTAAGGTCCTGGGCCCTTCCTAGCCAGGGTCTCAGGCCCTCTCCGGCTCCTGCCAGCTGTCCCTATATCAAGGACCAAAGGTGAGCCTAATGGCTTCCTTATCACCTGGGCTGTCCCTCAGCCTCCATGGGGCCCGGGACAGTCACGAGATATGTTCGAGGGTGCCTACATCGGTGGCCATGCCTGCACACCCAGTGCAAATGCAGCCACATAGACAGATAGAAAACCGAGCCTGGCCGTGGCTGTGCCACTCAATGGTTAGAGCATTGGCCTGGCCACTCATTTTCAGTCAAGGGCACATACCTGGGTTGCAGGCACATTGGGGAAAGCAACCAATGTGTCTCTCAAATTGATGTTTCTCTCTTTGCTTCCTCCCACCCTTCCTTCCTTCCTCCCTCTCTCTCCAAAAATCAATGGAAAAAAACACCCTCAGGTGAGGATTAACAACAAAAATAAAAATGCAGAACAGAAAAGTGAGCATGGGGTGACTGTGTGATTGCAGGTGTCTTTGAGGACTGCTGTCTGAGGCACCATCACCACATTAGGAAGGATATGCTCAAGCGGGCCCACAGTTACCGGCTCCAGGAAGTGAGTGGGAGCTGTAACATTCAGGCTGTGATGTGAGTGGGACAAGGGGGCTGGGGCAGGTGGGAGCTCACACATGGCTTTGCTTCCCATTTACACATTAACCTTGCACTCCACTCCCGCTTGCACAGATTCTACTTCCCTCGCCGAGATAAGAAGGTGTGTGGGGACCCAGAGGCCAAGTGGGTACAAAATTGGATTAAGTTTCTGGATCATCGGAAAATGCATCACCAAGGCACCTCAGGAAAACCCCAAGGTTGGTGAGACCCAGCCCAGCTGCAGGCTCCTGAGCTTCTCAACCCCCAAAGGAGGGGATTGCAGCCCAGCATGCGGACAGCTGTCCCCCGCCCCAAAGAAAGCCAGTTGCTGGCTGAGAGGGAGACTGAGTGAATGGGCAACTCCTTTAGTCAAAACACTTTCAATGGCCAGAGATGGGCAAGTCAAGTGAATGGGAAACTCATCAGCTCAAATGACCAGCCAATGGCTTCAGGCTCAGCTGGATCCAGGTGCTCTAAGGGCATTGGTGAATCTATTATCCATTTCTGTTTCCATCTTTCTGGCAGGCTCACACCCTATTGGGAAGAAGTTGAGATTTGGAACCTATAGGGTTCAACATAGCATCAGAAGCAACGAGAGGAATGCCTCCCTCCCAACAAGAGCTAATCCAGGTAAGGACGTGGATCACGTGACCATCTCTGGGCTCATCATGATGAGGGCTCATGATGAGCCCAGGTTGGGGTCAGGGACTCATCAGCAGGACCAAGGAGGGTTGGTTCTGTGTCAGCCCCACATGTTCACATGAGAGCATCCTAGGTTTCCACAGCTGACTCAGCCCAGGAAACTTCAGCTCCATTCCACTCCCTGTCACCTGCCATCCTCCCCAATCCTCTCCCATCTCTCCTGCAGGACCGTGAGACTGCACATTTCCAGGATCAATCAACACAAGATGGGCTGGAGTTTCTCCAATGTGACTGGCCTTGCAGCCCCCAGTTGCTCTCTCCTCCAAGCCAACTCTCAAAGCCCAGTCCCTGAGTCTGCGTTGGTTCTCTCACCGCTGCCCCCTCCTGTCCTTAGGCAGCTGAAAGGAGGGGTCTGGCCTCATTTCAAGCCCTTTGTTTTCTCTGAGAACCAGAGCCAGCCCTGGCCAACGGTCCTGATAAGAAATCATCAAGGCACACCACCCATTTGCAGTCTTTTGTCACCGGCTCTGGGGCCACACCTGCCTCTGTCCCTCTGGGTCCTTGCAAACCTCTAGTCCATCCAGGGACACCCCTCTTGAGCTGTGCTTTAAAAAATAAACCTTTGGTGGGTCATCATTCCTGTCTCTGTCACGTTTCATTATGGGCTGCCAGTCCCAACCTGTGCCAAATCCCACATGATCTCCTCTCACTCCAGAAGAGCAGACACCTCCAGCGGGCCGAGCACTGGATTGCTAGATACTGGACCAGGTGCATGTTCAGCTGGTGACATTGAGCAAACCACTCACTCTCTTGCTGCCTCCTTCCTGGTTGATAAAGTAGGGTCACATGCTTGCTTTGCCCAGGTCGCTGGGTTGTCATAACCGGCTAATGGAGGAAGCCTCTGTGAGCTCTGATAGGTGCCCAGAAGCTCCTGATAGTTTGGCTGAACCAGACCCCAGCAAGGACAGAGTTCAGTGACTGCTCTGCAGAAAGAGGAAGGGGCAAATGTCAGGGTCCAGGCCACTATTCAAACTCAATGTACCCAAATGAGCTTCCCCTCAGGCAGCCCATATCCATGACAAAGAATGTTCTGAATGACAGCAAATGTACCATCTCTAGAGGACAAGAAGTAGTTTGAGGCCAGGGGCCAGATTTGGCAGAAACTGGGTCACATCCAGGCCCCACTATGCTATTGTGATCCAGGCAGATTCCACAAACTCTCTAAACCTCAGTTTCCCCCCTATAGAATGGAGTGATAGCACTGCCTGCCTCATACAAGTTTGTGGGGACTAAATATATTCCCATCTGTGTTGTACACACACACACACACACACACACACACACACACTGACTACATGTTGTAGGATGAGAATCTCAGCCATCAAACTCGATAGAACTGGCCCAATCCTGAGCAAGGCAGTGATGGCACAGCTGCCTGACTTTGAACCGGATTCTGCTGCCTCCAACCTGGAGTCACCTTAGTAAGTTGCTTGTCCTCCCTGAGCTTCAGTTTTTCAATCTGCAAAATGATCGAAAGGAAGAGGATAGCAGTCCCTGTTCCATGAGGCTGTAGTAACAAATGGGTCAATAATTGGAAAGTACTTAGAATGGTGTCCAATATGTAGTATGTGGCATGGAAATGTGAGCCATTTTCATCAATATTAAAAAATATATATATATTCTTATTGATTTCAGAGAGGAAAGGAGAAAGAGAGAGATAGAAACATCAATGATGAGAGAGAATCATTAGAAGGCTGCCCGGCCATGTGCCCTGACTGGGAATCAAAACCCAACCTCCTGGTTCATGCATTGATGCTCAACCATGGAGCCACACCAGCCAGGCCGTTTTTGTCAGTGGCTCAGTTGATGCCAAACACACAGGCCTGAGAATTGGCAGAGCCTACATGCACCCCGGGACCATGTCTCCACTCCCAGATGGAAGGTGGACTCCACCCACCTCTCACCTATAGGCTTTCTGCTCAGAGCTCTGCGCTATAGCTCATCCTCACCATAGGTCCCGCCCTCTTAGGGTCTCCGGTTCTTCATGTAGCCCTTCAGTGCCTATTTGCTTTGAGAACGTGCTAAGGAGTCAGACGTAACCCCAAACATAACTGTTGTTTTTCCACTTCTGATATAAAGCATCCTTGGAACCCTAGGGGGCATGAACATGGCTGTGTGTCACCTGCTCTGGCTGGGGCCCTGTGGGCCCTTCAGCTTGGAGGGATGATCCCTATGCCCACTTTTGCTGCTGTCCCCATGCCCAGCAAGCCCGGGGTGGGGGTGGGATGAGACCTGGTGCAGTGCAGAAGTTTAGCCTGAGATTGACCAGATACAGTGAATCCCAGGGCCCTGCTTGACCCTAGTGTGGGAGGTGGAGGTGCAGGTCACAACTTCCAGCTGTCTCCAGGAAAGACAGTGCAGGGGAGAGGCTTGTCTTGCCTGGGGTGATAACGTAGCATGTCACTCTTCCTGAGTTTTGGGGTTCCACCTGCTCAGCCATTGCAACCAGGGATGGATTCTTAACAGTTCCCAAATACCCTGTCTCCGGAGAAGAGGAGGCATGGAGGCCTTGTAAGGTCCCAGCTTGTCCCCAGGGTCTCCCTGCAGTGTGTAGCAAGCAGAGTTTCATTCGTTTCCTCCCAAGACCCATGGAATGAGGCTGGGCTGGTGGTGCCCAGATGGTGAGTCTGGGGTAGGAGAGGCCTGGGACCAGGCTATAGTAGCCGTAGCCAAACCTTCAGCTGCAAAGCCTGGACCCTTGGCCCCGGCTGTCCCTCTGGCCAGATGCACCAGGGCCCTGCCACGCTCACCACCTCCAGCTGGTAGGTTGCAGGCTCTCTCCTCTGACGCTCCAGCTGCAGGGACCTGCGACCGCAGAGGCTATGCATGCGGAAGAAACCGCTCATTGCTGGGGACAACAGCATAGTAGACCTGGCCTTTTTAACTCTCCAGCACAGGCTGCAGCTCCAGGATGTGCTCGGCCCAGCCTAGGCATGAGAGGTTCAAGCCCAAGGTCAGCAGGACCTCCACCTCAAAGCTAGCTAGGCTCACCCGGGGAAGAAAAACCAAGTGGATGGATGATGGTTAGAGGCTGGCAGAACTGGAATGTGGTAAATAGGGGGCCATGGAGTTATGGCCAAGGGTAGAGTTCAGCCAATCTCTAAAGAGGAGGAAAACACAGAACAGCCTCTGCCCTTGACTTCTGTCTAGCCCTCCATCCACAAGGCCAATGGACGTGGGCTAGAGAGAGAGGCATGAAATCAGAGGCTGGTTCTCAGATGGAAAGCAAAGAGGGAAGGTAGGCCGCCAGTTTTACACACCAACTCCACACCCCTAAGCCCTCTAGAGGGGCTTCAGTGAGATTCCTGCCAGTCTGAACAGAGAGAATGGAGGGTATGACCTAAGAGACCTATACAAGACTCAGTCAGACAGCGTCAGATCCCAAAGGTGGATGGGGAGGCTGGAATTATGACCAAGGGCCTTGTAGCAGAAGCCAGCCTACGAGAGGATGCCTGACCCAGCACAGTGAGAGAAGCACAAGATCCGGCCCGGCTAGAGAGGGGCTGCCAGAGAGCTTTCCGGTTCGTGGAGGCCCGCTGCCCTTTCTGCGTCGGGGCTTTTTGAGAGCCCTCTGTGTGCAGACGACAAACTCTGCTTTATCCGAGCTCCTGTGAGTATGCTCCTGGTCCTGGCAGCCAGAGAGGGCTCTGATTAAGTCAGCCGGCGGCGACGGCAGACTGACCAGGGCTGGGTGCCATATCCAGTCACACAGGCGGTTAACTGTGTTTCCTCCTCCTTTGCTCTGGGCAGTGCCGTGTTTGTTTTGCCTCATTGATATGCTGCCGGGGTGTTTTGCTCTTGCATCAAAAGTGAAAGCTATTCCTGTTTCCTAACCCCTGAGCTCCCGAGACTTCAGTCCTTCCCATTAAATGTTGCAGACATGTGCTCCTACCAGCACCTACTGGCAGCCTGTGGGTACTGCAGGCAAAGTCACAGAATCCGGACAACCACGCCTTTCCCTCCGAGGGTCAAGGGCTGGTGACACAATGGCAAGCCCTACAGACACATGGCCCTGCCCTTGCAAAGCTTACAGAAAATAATGGTAACAATGGGATAGCATGTACGGTCACTGTTTTTTTCCAGCAAGAGGTTAAAAAAAAAGGGGGGGGGGGGAAACAGGGCAAAGTAACCCACTCATGTTTAATCTAATATTAAACTAAATTAAATTAAATTAAAAGCCCCTCAGATCCAATTCCTATCCTAGTTTTACCTTCATTGTTTCCCCAAAATTTATCATGTATCATTTTTTAATTTAATTTAATTTTTTAAAATATATTTTTATTGATTTTCCACAGAGAGGAAGGGAGAGGGATAGAGAGCTAGAAATATCCATGAGAGAGAAACATTGACCAGCTGCCTCCTGCACATCCCCCATCGGGGATGTGCCCGCAACCAATGTACATGCCTTTGACCGGAATCGAACCCGGGACCTTTCAGTCCACAGACTGACGCTCTACCACTGAGCCAAACCGGTTTCAGCTCATGTATCATATTTTATAATGTGTTACAAAATACAATGTTTTACTTGTTTCTTATCTGTCTCCTGTTTTCAGAGTATCGGCCGATTGGGGGCAGATACTTTTTTTTTCTTTTCTTTTTTTTTCTGTTTACTGTTGCTCCATTTCGGGTTCCCGGTGCACAGTAAGTGTTCAGAAACACCTTTGGGGTGAAGAAGTTTGGTCCCTGATGTGAGTAATGGCCTCTGTGTCGATGATTTTGGGAAACAGCATAAAGGGATGGTCTCCGAGGGTAGTGATTGTGGAGGGGTCTAGGATGCCTGGTCGTGAAGACGAGGCCGCAGGTAACCAAAAGGCCATGTGCTACCTGCTCTGGAGTCCCCTGCTCGGCCACTTCTAAGTTCTGCCATGTGAGCAGAGCTGCAGTGTGACCAACTTCTTTGTGCCTCGGTTTCCTCAGTGGTAAAATGGGGAGAGAGGCATCTACACCTCTGAAGACGGTGGTCAACATTGAGAGGCCATGAATGCAGAGTGCCTGGAGTAGTGTGAGCATCCAGCAGGCACCTAATAGATATTTAGCTTTCAGATCCCTTGGGGGATGGTGGCAAGGCTGGCCAGCAGTGGCCTTAGGGACAAAGTCACAACCTGGGGTCAGGGTCATGGCTGCAGTGGCCCCAGAGGACAAGAGGGACAAAGCTGCCGGTGCTTTGCTGTCCTGAGAGTGGGGAGGTTTCTAGAGCTGAGGTGGCTTCAAGAGTCCCACAGCTCAAAGGTGCAGGAAAGAGGAGCAGAGGAGGAGGAGCTGAAGGGGAGAGGAGAGGAGTGGTTGAGACCACTATCTTATGAATAAACAAAGGGATTAAGCTGGCTACTCTGGGCCCCATGGGTGCTAAATTCAGAGGAGCTCTGAGGGTAGGCTTTGCCAGCAAAGAGGCGAGAGGTGACAAGTTCTGGGGTGCAAATAAGGTTGGGGGGCATCCAAGTGCCATGGAAGGGATCATGGAGGCATCAGGCCTGGCCAGAGTCTATGTGGAAGGTACCTGACTCGTTACCAGGAGTGAAGTGGGGTGCAGAGAGCCCAAGGGGAGCCAGGAGCTGAGGGAGTGGCGGAAAGGTGTAGGCATGTACCACAACGCTGGGA